AAACTTTGAGTGCAGCTCTACAAACAGAAAACTCTCTGAAAGTACTGGACCTCAGTAACAATAAGCTACAGGAATCAGGAGTAAAGCTGCTCTCTGCTGGACTGAAGAGTTCGCACTGTAAACTGGAGATACTCAGGTTAGAATCCCGAAATTTTATAATATTTTGCTATTCTGTTTTAGATCACAGAAGTATGGAACTAATGAATGTGATGTATGTTTGTATGCATTTTTATATACATATTTTCAGACAATGATATCGTTGATATTTTTTTTTTATTAAACTGATCCAGGTTTAACATGGCTATGTATAACAATATAGTTAAATTTGTACTGCAGATTTGTCAAGATCTATCATAACTGACGAAGAACATGTATATGCATGAAGATATGCAAAGAGATTTCATTAATGCCAGTGTAGTGTGAAGGGAGTCAGGCAGAACAAGGTAAAAAAAAAATGCTTGAAAGTGGAGTGAGAAGGTAATTGTGGGCCAGAAGCTATAACAAGTTAGGCTTTCAGCTTGGTAAGGCCAATACAACAAAAATATATCCAACCTTACCTTACCTTGGCTATACAAAAAAACGATAACCAAAAAACAAATTGCTGTCCTACCACCCTGCAGGACACAAAAACAGAGGCAAACCCCCAAACAAAACTGCAGCCCCAAACTCTCAACCTGGTAAAGTTGTTACAAAATGTACCAGGAGTGAATCTACAACTGCAATTCCAAAAAACTTGGGACGCTGTGTAAAATGTAAATAAACACAAATAAAAACAGAATGCAATGATTTGCAAATCTTATAGATCCATATTTTATTCACAATAGATAAATATAGAGCACAAATCAGATGGTAAAAATGAGACATTTTACTATTTCATGAAAAATATTGACCCATTAAGAACTTGATGGCAGCAATGCACCTCAAGGGTTGGGACAGGGCCATGTCTATAATTGAGTAGTATCTCCTCTTCTTTAAACAACAGTCTGTAAAAGTCTGTGAAGAAAGGAGACCAATTGCTGGAGTTTTGGGAGAGGAATGTTGTCCCATTCTTGTCTGACGTAGGATTCTACCTGCTCAACAGTCTTGGGTCTTCTTTCGCTTCGGATTTTTCGTTTCATAATGTGACAAATGTTTTTTATTGGTTAAAGGTCTGGACTGCAGGCAGGCCAGTTCAGCACCTGGCACTAATGCAACCTCATCATGAGAGATGCAGGCTTATTAACTGTGCACTGATGGTCTGCATGGTCCCTCTCCTCGTGAGTCCACAGGATTCTCTTGGTTTCCAAAAAGAGTTTAAAATTTGGATTCATCTGACCGCAGAACAGTTTTCCATTTTGCGTCAGTACATTTTAAATGAGCTTTGGCCTAGAGGAGATGGTGGCATTTCTGGATCATGTTGACATACGGCTTCTTATTAGAATGATACAGCTTTAACTTGTATTTGTGGATTGCACAGCAAACTGTGTTCAAAGACAATGATTTCTGGAAGTGTTCCTGAGCCCATGCAGTGATTTCCAGTACAGAATCATGCCTAAAATGCTATTTTTATACTTAGTCATGTGAGTTAGTTGCAAATTGCTCCTCCAGCTGTTTTTTATTAGTACCACTTACTTTTCCAGCTTTTTGTTGCCGCTGTCCCAAATTTTTTGAGATGTGTTGCTGCCAACAAGTTCTAAATGAGTTAATGTTTTTCATGAAATGGTAAAATATCTCACTTTCAACATCTGATATGTGTTCTATGTTCTACTGTGAATAAAATACAGGTCTATGAGATTTGCAAATCATTGCATTCTGTTTTTATTTACATTTATTTACATTTTACACAGCATCCCAACTTTTAAAATTGGGGTTGTATATACAAAATACACAAGAAGCTAAAAGGTGTCACACCAAGCAAATCCAGAAGGCAAAAAGAGATTATCAAGTGTTAACAAGCAAATAAATATGTCAAAACAAGTGAGCTGAAGCTGATGGTGGAGCCAGTGGAGGCCTCTTTGGTCCTCACAAGGTGACAGAGTATAAGACACATAGACACATTTGTAAATGCCAGAGTTTGAATTTGAATATTCAATTTGTAATATGTCTACTTCATAAGTGGAATAACAGTAAAAGGAAGAAGTGTGACTGCACACTGCAGGCATTCTTCACTCATGCAGCCAGCCTATGTCAGCTTATAATGACAACTTAATGTGTCCAGAATAATAAGCAGAGCCATCAAGAATGGTCAAATAACAGAAAAATTGAGAAACACTGAGAATTAAATTATACCAAAATTTATGTCAAGAATTATATCTTAAAGATGGAGATCAAATGTCAAGATAAATGACAAAAAATATGTTAATTAAAAGTTTTCCTCAGTTATTTCTCTCTAAATATGTTATCTGTATTATAGAATATATCATGCTAAATTCTAGGGTTGAAAGCATGTTTCATATTTTAATCTGATATTTTAAGCATGCTGAAATTTACCAGTTAAAACTTGTTATTGTTAGAAAGGTACACATCTCTCTAAATATATTGGCATAAATACATAAATCCAATTGAATTTTCTGCATAGGGTGATTCTAACCATAGATTTACTAAAGTGTAAGCATTAAAAACATAATACATAAGTATTACAAATCAAAAAAAATAAAAGCATGAATTAGTAGTAATTGATTTTAGTCATTTAAATTTAACTTACATCATAATACTCTTACATTATGAATTCGATTAATGCTAATTTCAGAATTTTTCATCGTCAAATCAACTTCATCATCCATGTCAGAAATTGTGTCATTAAGTGGTGCCAAAAAAAAACCCCATAACAATACTAAAAGTAAGACAAAATATTACACATAGTAATCCATCATGCACAAGGTACACAAAAACCATACATTATCATCAAATCACAAATGTGCACAAAGAAATTACAGTTAAAAAACACATTCCATTTGACTGTTAAATATGTATATAGCATCAATAAAAACTTGGTATTTTAATTCTTCCTTTTAATTTAACCTTTTGACTAAATTTCTGATTTAACCGTTGAGTGCAATCTTTTAGAAATCACTGAAGCTTATTTAACACAAAGTCAGTATGGAGATGATTAAGTGGAAACTGCTCGGTTCCTATATCTTACCTATATCTTATCTTAAAAAGTAATAGAGAATTTCTGTTTAAATGAAGAATGCAAACTTTGTCATCTGAGCTTTATCAGTATTCAGTACGTGCTTATTTTTTCTGCTAAGCAATAGCCATGTATTATTACTATATTTCTACTGTAATTACCTGTAATACCTTTGTGAAACCAAGACTCTGGTGGTGCTGCTAGTTGGGAAAAATTCACAAACATTTTCAAGACAACAAAGACAAACGATGTATGTGGCAGAGCATTCAGGCCATTACTGTAGGTAGCCTTAACTTGTTTAGTTAAAATCTGATTGCTATTGCAATGCTAGGTTGTTGATCTATCTGGCTAGCCTAATTGTAACCCTGAGTACTCATTTAATGCCCTTCTTTCACTGTTAAAATTTAGCTTGGAACAATTTCTTACAACATTTTTACACACTAAAAGTAACAAAAGTTATGGAGCTGGATCTTTTAGCCTGTTTGCAGTTACCTAGCTAGCTAGCACAGTTAGACCTTTACAGTTCAAGGAAAATCATGCCTAATATTTTCTTAGGACAATCATATAGGATGGCTCTGTTAACCCAGAAGCAGGACATTTTATTTTAAAAGTAGTAGCAAAGTTTTGGAGCAGATCTTTTAGCTTTATCATCACAATAAGCTAATTTAGTAAATTTTTTGACCATAGGAAAATCATCTAGTCTTAACCTGGGGGCATCATACAGTTGTGTAGACTTTATTTTTTGTGTTACTCTATGGTCAGTAAATTAAATAATAACAGCAGAAGCAAAGTTCTGTAACTAATATATTAGTGTGTATGCCACATTAAGTTAGCCTGAAAATTCACAGTCCCAAGAAAATCATCCCATTTTAACCTGGGTGCATCATACAGTTATGCTGACTCAGGGATTTCATTAATTTATGCTAGCCCAGGAGCAGTACATTTAATAATAACAACAGAAACTGTATGTTTTTGACAGTAGTGTGAAAAGCCTTTGTCTGTCTGTGTATTCCAGTTCTTACACTTTCAAAAGTTTGGTTCTCACTATTGATTATGTTTTCTACTTCATTTTGCTCTCTAATAATATTGGTAGCTTTGTGTGTGAACTGCGTTGGGGATACAATATTAACCTTTGTTAAAGATGCTAATGTACCACACATGCTTTGTAACCAGGGAGAAAAAAAGAACTGTACATTACAATGCTTTATTTCTGGATTTCATTGTCCTTCTGCCAAATTGTAGCATTACAAATAATCCAGCAATGTTTGTGAGAAAGAGAAAGAAATATTGTCTTTTGTCACTTACTTTAAGCATTGTAGTAAAATAAAATGCAGAAGAGATTTTTTACATTTGTTGTATTATCATGACTTAATTACTTTTTCTTGTTAAATTTAAATATTTACCTATACTCTGTCTTTATGTTGTGTTTATTCTCGTTTTATAGACTAGCATCATGTAGTCTTGAAGAAAAAAGTTTTGAAGAGTTGGAATCAGTTTTAGAACTGGAAACCTCCTCTCTGAGAGAGCTGGATATCAGTAATAATTATCTGCAGGATTCAGGAGTGGCGCTGCTCTCTGCAGGACTGAAGAGTGCACACTGTAAACTGGAGATACTCATGTCAGTATTTCTGTTTCTCTTTCTCTTGTATATATATATATATATATACACATTTGGGAGCAACATATGCAGCTTTGTGATGCAATGAACGTTTTCAGACTCCCATGTTTAATTCATTAAGACGAGGCCAAGCCACATTCTGCACATACTACAAAGCATGGTTGCATAAACGTATAGTGCAAGTGCTTGACTTACCTGCCTGTCTCCTATTAAAAATGTTGGAAAATCATATAATTCTTTGAAAAAAGATTTGTAATATTTTCTTTTTTGCAGACTATCTTTGTGTAACTTTGGGGAAAAGTCTTGTGAAAATCTAGGATCTGTTTTACAAACAGAAACTTCCTCCCTAAAAGAGCTGGACATCAGTAACAATGAGCTTCATGATTCAGGAGTGGAGCTGCTCTCTTCTGGACTGAAGAGTTCATGCTGTAAACTGGAGATCCTCAGGTCAGCTTTCTCTTCATTTTGGAAAGGGATGTTAAACTGTGATGTTCTTTGATTAACCCATATGTCAACAACATGTGGGTTTGAATGTATTTAAGGGGGATTCCACTGCTATTTCTAAATTTCTTTATTCAGTTAATGAGAGAAATTCAGTTAATTCAGAGTTCAATGTGAAATGCTCTATTCTAGCAAAACTTCTTTCTTTATAGTGGTGGTGATAGTCATAATGTCTACACCACAAATACAGTTTTAACAGCAAAATAGTGATAGATCTAAAAATGTATCCTTTGGAGACCATTTTGAGAGAGCAATCAATTCAATCTTTCAACATTTATTTTATCTGGTAAAAATTCTTATCTGACTGGCCTTTGACAGAGCTGCTGCCTCTTGATTTCCATCTACAGGTTAAGAAATTTAGGGATATGGAAGTGCCTTATGATCAACTATATGACCTTTTCATTGACATTAATTTACTCTAAAAAACAGTTTATGGCAGATACTGGAATTATTGTTTCCAGTTACTTAAGATAAATACAAAAACAAAGAATGTGAATAGGTGTCAGTAATGTTATTTATATCTCTCTCGCTTGTTCACACTCTCACTATTAAGTGAAATTATTTAATGTTAGTGTTAATGTTAATGTTAGTGTTAGCCTAATCCCTTTTTTTTGTCTCACATAAGTAAGTGAGGGTTCGCTAACAACCCAACCAAGTAAAAACCCAACAGCCAGCTAAAATGACCATAATTTACCACACATCCATATTGTAGGTGAATGTATTCACTCTTGTATATCCTGACTGTTTCACTTTGTATATTATAGATTTTGTATAACTTCTAATGTCTATTTTAGTGAGCTTTTAGCCAAAAATATGGCTTTAGCTTCAGCTTTTGCTGAATACTTTGCAGTGCAAAATCAGAGACCCTCCCTGTGATGAAATATCCTACCGGTAATGTTATACATTAAGGCCTTGTGAGATGCAATTATGATTTTGTTTACCCTTGTTTTTAATCCACTCTTATAGGATAGCAACACCCCTGCAGAGTGGAATGGTTCAGCTCAGGTGATGCAGGGGTGGGGCTAACCCTATAAGAGGCAGGGGAAAGGTTTAGTAAGGGGGGTTGATTGGCTTAAAACATAGGAGGTCTGATGTGATTGGACGAGCCAAGGTTTCAACTTTTCAAATTATGTTAGTCAATCTCTGGTAGTTTAACAGAGACATCACTGCATAAGAGCAGCAGCAGCGCCTCCCTCAGGTTATACTCTGCTGTCACAGGATCTTGTGCATGAGAATAAGTTTTAGTTGATTTTAACTAATATCGTACATTTATTTGGGAAGGGGGCCTAACTGACCTAGCAATGCTTATAATGGGGCCTGATAACATCTGACATTAGAGATATAATTACTTTAAAATAACATAATTAAAAAGCCAAGGATAACCAAGTTTAATTTATAAGGATTAACTTTATTTCAAACTTTGTTAGTATCATCTCTACAAATAAACCCTTGTCCAAAATTTAAAATTTAGCATCCAAATCAGATTCACTACTATACATACACTCTAGAAAATAGGAAGAAGAACTCTCAGTTACTCCCACTGATATCTTATGGTCAAAGATTCCTAAAAACATAGCTAGCTGACATAACTAATCGCACCAGCATGCACCTTGTACAATATAAAATTTTTTACAATGTGCACTGCCCTGGAAAAAAAAAATATTGTGTTAAAAGTGCTAACAATCACCAAAATGACAGTTCAGATGAACTGTTACTCAAGGAGGACAATTAACATTACTCACTGGAAAAAAGCTACTTATTGATTATCTATCACTGGATCATCTTTCAGCCTCCATCAAAAGCAAATCCACAGAATTTGACTTCACTTGGTCAACAGTCATTAACTTTCTACATACAACAGTAACCCCCAACCCCAATTAATTTAACTCAACCCATTCAGGAACAATAGGCTGAACAGCAAAAGTGTCATCAAGGTCACATGGATAACAGAACTGTAAGATACACTGATTCACTCCTTCAAATTAATGTTTAAAAGGTTTTAAAACAAGTGCATTTTTATTAACAAGAGGAAAACATTAAACATATTAGTGATCTTGTTTAGGCTGTAACAGGAATAAAGCCTCAAATAAATTTGATATAAAATGAGCATATTAAAATGACTTTGCACTTATGGTGTCAAAATTTCTGTTACTGTGAATAGCTTAGCTAATCAAGTATTAGACCTGATTTCCAAAAGGCATAAAGTTAAAGACATTACATTTCTTTAATATTTTAAAAAAGATTACTTTATTTCCATCTTTTACATTTTTATTTACATATACATCTACTAAGTTCCCTGCATTGTCTCTCTCAGTCTATTTCTCTCTTTTTCTGCACTCTGCAGATTATCAGGATGTATGGTCAGGGTGGAAGGCTGTTCTTCTTTGGCTTCAGCTCTGAGTTCAAACCCCTCACATCTGAAAGAACTGGATCTGAACTATAATCTCTTTGGAGAGTCAGGAGAGAAGCTGCTCTCTTCTAGACTGAAGGATCCACACTGCTCACTCAACATACTCAGGTATGAACAACTGTATTCACAGGTGTATATATGTGTGCGTGTGCATTTGTGAGAGAGAGACAGAGAGAGAGATAGAGAAATGTAAATAATCAATCTGCTGAGAGTGAAAGACCAAGGAGAAAAGCATGGAGAGAGAGAGAGAGGGAGAGACAGAAAAAGGCAAAGAATGAAATAAAAAAGACAGAAATATGAACTCAGAGATAGAGGCAGAGTGACATATATATATATATATGTATAAAGATAAATACATGTACATAATATACACATAACAGACATATATAAATAATATATAGATAATAAATACAGACAGACACACACACACACACACACACACACACACATATATATATATTACAAACAGAAACAAAGAAAGAAAGATGGATGGAAAAAGAGAAATATTTGTTCACTGAAAATCTCTCACTGATCTGTGTTTGTGTTCTTTAGAGTGGAAAATCAGGGTGAGATGAGAATCAGACCAAAGAAATGTAAGTACAAACACACACTCACACATACACACACCCTACTTGCATACACATATGTAATGTATGTGTGCATGTGCATCAGAGTTTTCAGCATGCCTGGAAGTCATTTCACTATAACAGGATGGTAGAGTTTTACAAAATAAGAGCATGTTCAGCAGCATAAAGAAAATGGTTTCTGGAAAAGTATAGGATAATTCATCCTGTATGAGAATTCGTCACAACACTGGGCCACCAGGATTTGTTGTTGGGACTTTGAGAATATTTCTACCTTGCTGTCTTTGGCCTTCAAATCGTTGTAAAAGAAGAATTACCACACATGGATCTGCACACTGAACTACCATTATGATTGAAAAAATGGTTTTGTGTGGTCTTACGGTTCAGTGAAGAGTCTGTCTAGAAGCGCATCTTGTATGGTTCTACACAGTGTAGGATGCGATAGCAAAAATCAGAACATCATCTCTATTGCTAACAATACAGAAAGGTTGATTACAGTTTATGATTGCTTACACACTAAAATTAGAAATAAAACAGTTAGTGAAACCTGACACTGAACACGTGAAACCTAAGATCTGCACAACTATGAGCACATTCTCAGCCTCACACTTTTAGCAAAACAAAAAAAACTGTGTTTTGTGAACCACTAAACACACTTCTCTACACCTGCTAACCAATTGATCAAACATGGTAAACAGACAATTAGGTGCTTAATTGTAAACTCAACAATCAGGTGTAAGTACTAAAAAAAGGAAACAGGTGAGTTGTATTCTTTTAAATTCATGTTTTCTTTTTTGTATCCACAAATAGTTTGGCGGTGTTTATGTACTATATTCTGTTTAGAAAATGCTCTGTTTTGAATTTCAGTGTAAAATGCAGCCTTTGTAAGTTCCTGCATGCATTGACTGATGTTACATTGATGTTACAATGATGTTAAAAATTTCATCACTGTGTAGTGCTGGTCTTCTGTGTTATGTTTGGTTATTCATATAGTTTATTCTACAGTGTCTATGAAATGAAGTCAAACCCAGACATTATTATAAAAGCAGAAATGTTAAAGGTGTTTTAGATTGAGCATGTCAGTGTGTAACTGGTTCAAACAGATGTTATGAACCCTGTGTGCACTATGACAAAATTGGATTTTCTTAAATTATTGTATAATTCTGAACGAAGGTTTCATTTTGCAGAAGATCTGACGTGTTCTGCTGCATGTGTGTGTGTGGTTGTGTGAACTGTGTGTAGTGTTTGGACAAATTGAGCCATTTTCATTATTGCGCTTAAGCAGTTGTAAAAACTGTGAAGATGAAAAGGCTAATTACACTGATAGAGCAGTTTGTTTGTTAATCCCTAAAAGTGTCCAAACAGAGTTTTTCCAGAGATGCTGCTGAATATGCTATTTCTTGTAAAACTCTGTCTTCCTGTTACAGTGAAATGATTACTAGGTGAGCTGAAAACTCTCATGCACACATCAGTGACTGCAGCCTGTGTACATTCATCCACCCAGACATGTGGAAGTGTTTCATAGCTGTGTGCAAGTACTGTGTGTGTGTATGTGTGAGTATTTTATATGGTGTTTGTGTTTCATCAACACACACACACACATATAAACTCTCTTACGCACCAAACACTCTGTCACACATGCACAAACACACACACACTCTAATGTCGCTTCTTGTGTGCAGATTCCTGTGAGCTCACTCTGGATCCAAACACACTGAACAGATTTCTCTCTCTCTCTGACGGGAACAGAAAGGTGCAGCGTGTGTGGGATGATCAGTCATATCCGGATCATCCAGAGAGATTTGGTAAGTGGTATCAGGTTCTGTGTAGACAGAGTCTGACTGGACGCTGTTACTGGGAGGCTGAGTTGAACGGGTGGAGGGTTGATATAGCAGTAACATATAAATCAATCAGCAGGAAAGGAGACAGTGCTGACTCTGAGTTTGGAGCAAACGAAAAGTCCTGGATTCTGATCTGCTCTGATAAAAGTTACTCTGTCCGTCACAATAATAAGCTCATTGAACTCTATACTCGTCCCTCCAACTGTAAGAGAGTAGGAGTGTATCTGGACTATCCGGCCGGCACTCTGTCCTTCTACAGAGTCTCCTCTGATATACACACACTGACACACCTACACACATTCTACACCACATTCACTGAACCACTCTATGCTGGATTTTGGGTTGGTTCTAACTCCTCAGTGTGTTTGAGATAATATAACCTCCTGTGTGTGTGTGTGTGTGTGTGTGTGTGTGTGTGTGTGTGTGTGTGTTTTGTGATGTTCAGGAGCCCTAGAACACACACACTTTCTCACATTTACTTTCTCTCATATTCTCTCTATCTCTGTGTCCATCTCTCTCTCTTTCTCTCTCTCTCTCTCACACACACACACAAGTTCAGTGTTGCTTTGCCTTGTAAGGTCCAGTCTCTCTCTCTCTCTCTCTGTATATCTGTTTATCTCCCCCCCCCCTTGTCTCTCTCTCTTCCTCTCCGTCTGTGTCTCTCTCTCTCTACATATTTCTCTTTTCTCTCTCTTTCTCTGTTTTTCATCTCCTCTCTCTGGTTCTCTCTCTCTCTCATTAACTCTAATTTATGGCTAGCAGGATACTGGATGAATAGCATGTTATGTTACAACCACAATTCATTTTTTTATGTTCATTTTTAACTTCTTTTTATTCTTCAATCTTTTTATTCTTAAATCTTTAAGACTGATATATGTAAATGAGCTCTGTTCTGATTGGCTGTGCTGTATTGTGCCTCATTTAAAAAGCAGTTCAGTCTGTATTTCTGTCTGGTTTGGAGATGATCATGCCAATGGAGATGATGTACAGAATCAGTGGAAGATCTACAATAAAGAACTGATTAACATAATTATGTACATTCAATAAAAAAGTGTTGATAGTCTTGTCTGATTTATTTACACCTGTAGAGATGATGTAAACTGAGTTTAAAGTTAGACAAATACAGCTTTCAGGTTAACTCGTGGCTAACAGGTTAGGTCAGGTTAGTGTGTGTTTTCACCGCTATCAGGTTAAGATATAACTAGCAAGTTAGTTCACAGCTAATGGGTTAGGATATAGCTAGCAAGTTATTTTAGAGCTAGCGGTTTAGGTCGTGGTTAGTGTGTCATTATGCAGCTAGCTGGTTAGGATATAACTAGCAAGTTATTGCACAGCTCGCAGGTTAGGTCATGGATAGTGTGTTCTGTCACAGCTAGTGGGTTAGTAAATAGTTATTTTGAGTTATTTCACAGGTAGCATGCTAGGTCATGGCTAGCATGTTTGGTCACCACCACCAGTTTGGCATGTTAACTTGCAGCTAGCAGGTTAGATCAAGGCTAGCAGGTTAGGTCATGACTAGCGGGCTAGGTCATGGCTAGCCTGTTAACACTCTGCCTGTCTAACTCTGAATATTACTGGATTGTCTCTTTACCCCATTAGGGCGCCTGACAAACTCTGAATATTACTTCTTTAGCCAGTTAGCAGTCTCTGAATATTACTGTATTAGCTTGTTAGGGTGTTAGCAGTCTGCCTGTCTAACTGACAAGATTAGCCCATTAGCCCATTAGCAGTCCAATTGTCTAACTCTTGAATATTACTGGATTAGCCCAATAGCCCGTGAGTGGTATGCCGGTCTAACTCTGAATATTACTGGATTAGCCCATCAGCCCTTTAGCGGTCCACCTGTCTAAATCTAAATATTAATGGATTAGCCCATTAGCCCGTTAGTAGTTTGCCTGTCTGACTCTGAATATTACTGGTTTAGCTCATTAGCTCGTTAGCAGTCCGTCTGACTAACTCTTGAATATTACTGGATGAGCAACCCCCCACTCAAACATTAACAACACTTTGGAAGTTCTTCATCTTGCTGTAGATCTAACTAGGGATGAACAATTTGGGAAAAGCACAGAGGTTTTCAAATCTTTCAGTTTCTTTGCTCTTTTTTTGGGGGGATTTTTAACCCAATTATCTCCCCAATTTAGTCGTTGCCAATTCCACCCGCTAGTTAGGACTCCCCCAATCACACGATACTATCAACGCTAGGAGGGCGAAGGCTAACACAGGTTTCCTCCAAGACCTGTGAAGCCAGCCACCGCTTCTTTTCGAACTGCCGCACATGCAACGTTATTGGACAGCTGAACGCGCTCAGAGGAAAGCGCCAACCGCCAGATCTGTTACGTCAGCAAACAGACGCCTGCACTGATTAGCATCGCGTTAAGTGATGGGGGGAGAAGGAGGGGCCACCCTACCCACCCAGAGAGAGCGAGGGCAATTGTGCTCTCTTGGACTCCCGGCTACGGATGGCTGTAGCATCACCAGAGATCGAACTCACGATCTGCTGATGACACGGCCAACGCTTAGACGATTGCGCCACTCAGGAGCCCCTTTTTGCTCATTTTAATGATGTGTCACACCACATGAGTACAGAGTTTTAATGAGAGTTTAACAGCTTTATACCACAGAGCAATTTCTGACAACATGCTTGCAGAACTTAACAACATGTCAGCAATGTGGGTTGACAAGCAGCAGCAAAAATGTTCATGGCAAAATCTGTAATGGCAGTATTTGGTGAAAAGACAGTAGATTCTAACTAAACTATTGTTTTCACTTAAATGTCACAAATACACCACATAACGCAACATGCAAACAGTGTAAAACACAGTAACAGGTGTCCCTTACCTCAACGGCTGAGTTGCTTCTTTCAGTAATCACTCATCTGCTGCTGTGTTGTCAGTTACAGTCTAAGGTAATTTTAGTCCAGGCTGTTATTGAGGGAATGAATATAAGTGAAATGTATAAAAAAGAAGAGCCCATCTCTTGAGGTAATGAAAGCCTTTAGTCTTGGTTTATCCTTTAGCATAGCAGCTTGCTACTATGTGCACACCTCCGTTGGTCAACAGCATCACACATTGGTATCATAGCCTTTCGCTTGAACAAAGCCAAAGAATCAGTGGCTCAATCGTTGCTAATGACAGTGTGAATGACGTAATATTTACTGAACTGTAACATTTACTTTGGCATAATCTGATGCTTATACATGTAAGTGTGAGTGTTTAGGATGCATGTATGAAGCAAATGTCTGGAGAAATTCGGATGTGAAACAGCATTCAACACCAATTTTATTTATCAAGTTTTAACTTTTACACAACAAAAGATTTTACTTTTAATTCATTTGTCAATTTGTTAAAAAGCTTATTACTAATTATTTGGTGGTAAATGCAAATTACTAAAACAGAGCACAATGATCTTGTTTCATTTAAACATAAAGCACCACTAAATGTTTGTCTTGGGTGATGGTTGCATGTTTCAATAATGAATATTAGTAAGTCACTCACTTGGTGACTCAATAAGAGATAGCAGCTCTCATAGGAAGGTCTAGCAAAAAAAGAGAGAGAGAAAAAAGCAATCACTAACCATGGCGGTGGTGGTGGTTGTGGTGGGGTTCCTGTCACAACAAGTGCTCAGTCTACTTGGGCTGTGCCTATAAACATTGAGACAGGTGAAAGAGGTTCTTTCTAAATTAAGACAACTGTGGTACTGAAAAATATAAACTGCTTACCAGGTGGTGTTAAAAATTCGGCAGGAAGAGTCAGGAGAATGGATCTTCAGATTCTTCACGTTTTATTCACACGCATGCAGAAAATCATGCACGGGCACAGCTTGGTCACCAGTCTGTCACCAGTCTAACAAGAATATTTTGGGGACCTTATATGAAGGACCTTAACATACATTGAAAACTGTCGGGGAGAAAGGAGGAAGAAAAGGAGTTTGAGGAGGGGTAAGGGGGAGATGAAGACTGAGAATATGAAATGAGATGTAGGGGGTAGAGATAAAGGCAGTGACTTATCAACTTATGATTCAGAAACAAAAGGTAATTTCAGTACAAACAAAGGAGTGAGTTGACAAGGTTGGAGTGTTATCACCTTTCACCTTATACTTTTTTGCAAACAGCAGGTGACAAGAATTACTTTTCTACCCTTCTACAAAAGGCTATTTGCTAAAACTCTACAGTAAACATGGTTAAGACCCCTAAGAAAATAACACATAAGGGAAAACAACATATGTTGAGAATATTTTCTCTCACTGGACAGCGTCTGCGATGATCTGAATGTGCAAAACATTCTAGCATCAAATGCATATCATGGTACAGTAACATTTTCTGATGATTTGGTATTGCAGTATATGCATTTATAAGTTTTTCTATAAAATTAATTTAATTTAATTTAATAAATGCAAAATTTTTGGTACATTAGCTGCAGTTTATTATTCTGAGATGTGCTTTCACATTTCAATAAGAATCATAAGTAAGAATTGAAGTAAATCAGAAATATTTTTATTGTGCAAATAATAAAAAAAGAACAGGATGTAACGGGACAGAATAATTCAGATGCATACGGATTGTAAAAACAAAAGAGGCTTTGCTTGAATCAGGGATTTCCAAAGTTGTGGTCAAAAAAAACAGGCTAAGGTCAGTTCCAACACAGTCAAATACCAGAAAAACACAGTCATTACCAAACCAAGGGGAGAAAGCAAAAGGCAGAGTCAAATAAACAGGCATTTCAATACACGAGAAAAACAAACTGGAATGCACAATGAAATACTTGGTAGCTCTGAAAACAGTGCCAATACTTCACAAAGTCCCTGGTCTAAAGCCTGGGCTTATAAGGCTAACTAAACAGGTCACATGACAGACAAAACAGGTGCAAATAATCAGTATTCAGGTGAGGCAGATTGATGGCAAGTTGTGTGTGGTGGAGAGAGTCACATGATCATCCACGGGATTCTGGGAAATGGAGTCCATGCTGGAGGGCTGCGTAACACTGGACAATAACTAAATTCTTCTTTTAGCCAGTTTCCAGTTTAAATTTGTCTCATATGAGAACATAGTGTCGCTTGATGGAGCTCACTAAATGAGGCGGTTCCTCAGGCAGTATGGGAAGAAACAGAACTGTGATGAATAGTCTAGTGTCCATGCTGGGCTGGTGCTAACTCCAAGAGACTGGCTTTTCTGTTATGTACACTGTCTCAAAACAAACTGGACTGCCTTTTAGATTACAACAAACTAGATAGCAGGAGGTGATCAAGATACCGCTCCTTTTTCAACTGAAATATGACTGTAACATCCATGACTCATGATATATTGTGTTATCTATGCTTATGTGTGATAAACCAGTACAACAGTTATGACAAAGCTCAGAATTTCAACTGGTATGCT